CCCCCCCCACTGTTCTGTTCCGTTCAATCTGCTGACTGCTCACTGCAGAGAGACCCTGCCAGGTGGGAGGAGCAGGACATGTCCACCGCAGGGTTCATGTCCACTCTGCTAGGCACCCTTTGTTCCCAGCTCCAGCTTCAGGGCACACCTCAAGTGTGTTTTTATGCACATATGCAAGGGAAGTCCTTTGTGGACTTCTGATACAAGGATTGTAAAGCATGGAGAGGCGTGTGTGTGTGTGTGTGTGTGGTGGGGAGGTCTCTGTACACTCTGGGAACAGGGATGGGTGAGTTTGAGCTGGGTGAGAGCCCTGGGCACTGACTGCAGAGGGCCAGCTTCAATTGGGCATTCGTCTGCCAGCAGCCTACGCTGACTCTTCTGAGCTGGGCCTGGATGCGGAGAGCCAGGACTTCAGGCCAGGATAAGGGCCCAGCGGGCAGGGAGAAGCCCACCTGATCAGCTGGGGGGGAGGGGAGGATGAGATTGGGGGGTGGAAGAAAGGAGCAACTCCAGGCTCTCCAGCTACAGTGAGCTGCAGGCCTGCAGCTGGAGCCAGAGAGCCCCTGGATGCAAGGCATTGCGTCTAAAGCTCCCTGGGCGGCCCAAGGGCATGGGCCAATGTGAGTGCCCTGCTATGCCTGGGGCCCTAAGGAAAGGGTGAGCATGGGCCTTGAGATGGCACTGACACCTCCAGTGGCCAGAACACCAAAGCCCAGGCTCCTCTTTTGTTCCTAGGGGGTCCCTTCTTCTCCATCTGCTGCCATGAACACTCAGTGCCAGTTGCCACAGAAAGAGGGTGCTGTTTTCACACCTTGTGGGGGCCCATGGGGCAGGAATGAGCAGGGTGACAGCTGCTTGAGGCAGGGCAGGGCTACCCCTAGAGTTGGAAAAGCCCATAGAGCAGACTCCTACTCTCCCCACTCAGAAAGAGTGCTCCTGCCCTAGGGGAGGCTGGCCTGGCCCAGCCCTCAGCTTCTGACCTGGAGGCAGAGAAAACTTCTAAGAACTTGGCTGCCAGACCCTAGGTCTGTCTGCTGCTGTGTGGAGGGAGGGAGGAGGCCCCAGAGCAGAAAGCCACCCCACTTCCTCTCTAGCTTCCTCCTGCACGGCCTCGAGCCCTTCTTTTCTGGACCCTTACAAGTAAGCATCTCAGCTTCGTGGTTTCCTGTTTTCAGTGAAATTTACTCTGAGCTCCAGGCTCCATCTTCATCCATTACCACACGCCCACCCCCAGTGGCCCTAACACTCACTCTCCGTTGCAAAAAAGACCATACACTCCTGTGTACAACCCTGGTGGCTGGTCCCCCCTGGCTCAGTACATGTGAGCTAGCGAGCACAGGACAGAGCAGGGCAATGGGAACACAGAGCCTGCCTCCAAGAGAGGCAGGAAGAGCCTGGGGAGGAGCCTGGGGCCTCCAGGAAGTTGGCTGCAGGGTGGGACTGTGGCAAGAGGCTCATAAACCATGACAATATCTGAGACCCTGGGAGGGAAACCTGTGCTTTTAGGCAATAAGTCATTGTTAAGAGATGTATCAGGAATTCACAGGCCTGAGCCCATCTCCCAATGTTTACATTTCATGAAGACCTTCTGCCTCTGTTCTCTCCAAGGGAATGGAATTGACACTCCTTGAGAATATACCATGGAGGCCACTGCAAATGCTGCTGTTGGGTCAGGCTGGCCCAGCCAGGGGGTCTGTGGTGACAGGCACTGGGGTGAACCACAGGGTTTGCTTCTCACAGGACAAGCGTTGGGGCTGCCCTCATTCCTGCCTGGCCAGAGCGCCTTCTACATGCAGCAGCCTGGGGCAGAGGGGTGGCACTGCCTCCTTTAGGGAGTAGCATGCGGTGGGGGGACTCTGAAGGACACAGTGAGGGTGGGGTTGCAGACGTCCTGTCACCCTCCATCCCAGCATGGGCACAGTAGTCCTGTCTTCTGGATGAAGCCTTACTGGGTGTCAGCTCAAGCTCCAGGGCTGGCCTGAATGTGCTTAGGCTGGGCTATGATTTGCTCAGGGAACACGAACAACAACAATGGGCAGAAAGAACTGGGGTTGTTGGCCAGGATGCTGGGTACAAAGGCCTCTTGAGAAGCAGACACCCACAGACCAGCTGTGCATCTGTCCTGGCCCACAGAGAGCACTGGCTGTCTAGCCCCTTCACTGTCCCTGCTTTGCATGGTCGCCTTTCTTTCCTGCATGGCTGCTGTAGGTTAGGGTTAGGGTTAGGGTTAGGGTTAGGGTTAGGGTTAGGGTTAGGGTTAGGGTTAGGGTGTGAGTTCCAGGAGTGTGGGTATCCAATAACAGCCTGCCCTTTGAATTCGGTTGCAGGGCTGATAATTGAAGCATAGCCCCTGAATGATGGGTTGGACCAGTATGACCGAGTTCCATTCTCTGGACCACTCACAATCGACAGGGACCTCTGACTTTCCACCAGCTCTAGTTCCCAGCAGCTCTGGGTGGGCTTGGTGGAATCTCCTCAACAGCAACCATTCCCTGAACTTGTGCAGCCCCGGGGGAAGGGGTTTCATTTAGTTTTGCAATTCTGATCTGTGGGTATGGCTTCCTAGAATATATGTGAGAGGGATTCTGATGTTATCAATATAGCTTAATGAGAAAGTGCTGACACTGGTTCGCAACGTCTGCCTTGGGCACAGGCTAGAGAGATGGCAGTACGTGTGCCATATCTTTGCTTTTGTTTTAATACTCTGTGTTTCCAAAAACAAGTTCACATGTGTTAATACTTCTTTGATTCCCCCCTCATCTAGCAGAAAACCCTGAGAGGCTTTCTTGTCCCCATTTAACGCATCGGGAAACTGAAGTTTCCAAGGTTTGTGTCTTGTCACAAGTGAATGAGGAACCGGGACTAAAACCTGGGTTTCCTGCTTCCCAGGTTTACTTTCCTTCCTCTTCACCGAATTGAATGGCATTATAGGGAAGGACTTGGACTTGCCTACAGTAATACCAGGGCCCTGGGAGTGGGGCCTGTGCCCACATGCCCACATGCCCATGGCTCCACTCCTTCCATGTCAGTTCTTGCCATTCCCCTTTCTGCCTGGCAACCCTGAAACCGCAGACTCCTAGTAGGCGTGGTGGCCCATGCGCCCACTTGCTTGCAGTGGGGAATGGGGATGGGGAAGGGAGAAACTCTCAGCTAACTGCACAGCCCATGTTACTTGGAAGAACTGAGCCAGTTGCATGTGCAGCATTTGAGCAGCTGCAGAATATCCCCCAAGGAGCAGGGCTCAGGAAAGGGTCTGAAATTATTCATGCTGGGACAGAGAAGGCCAGCCTAATTTGGTGTGCAGCACAGGAAGGGCCCAGGTTGGGGTTTCCTGAGCTTGAGCCAGGGGAAGCAGGCTTCCCAAACAGCAGCAGGATCCAAGTTTAATAAAGAGAAGAGCCCTTGGCTCTCAAGATAGGTGAGCTGCTGACAGCACTGTCCCCAGCTCGCAGACTTTCATGGGGCTATTACTGATGATTCTGAACCAGAAGTAGGTAGATTTTTTTCCTAGTCCTGCCCGGATAGGTGACTTCTGCAGATCCCCACCAGTCAGGGAAGCTAGGGCTGGTTATCTGGGATTGTCTAACCTGCTAGCTGTGATTTGCACGGTGGAAAGGTCTGGTCAGGCCCTCCCTCTCCCATTCCCCGCCAAGATGCCTCAGTGGCTGGGGCTCAGCTTCTCACCTCCCAGTTGCCTTCCGTCCTTCCTCCCTGGGCCCAGCCCTTCCTCTTGCAGGCTCCTCCCTGATGGCCACTTAGACCCCGCCCCCAAGCCTGGCCCCTCTGCCTGTGGCCTACAGCTAGCCAGAGGACTGAGGCTGCACAAGGACTTCTCCAGGCTGGGTGGCATATCACCGTGTGGTCGGCTGGGGCTGGCCCGGATGCCCCTTGCAGCACAGCTGTTCCAAGCTCTGGGTGATATGGGGCTGAGAACTGGGTGGGGACAGCCTAGGCTGTTCACAGGAATGTCCGGCTCTCAGGAAACCAGGGGTGGAGGGCCCAGGGAGGAAAGGAGATGTGAAGGCTCAGATACAGGATTTCTCTTGGTTTTGCGAAGGCTTCTGGCAGCCGAATCCCAGGTCCCCTGCTTAGAGATCCTTCTCCTTTAAAACATGGATACAAATGATGCCTCGTTCATAAAAGCCTTCCCCGGCTCCTGGCTATGAGCTTCTAGCACTAAGTCACATCACAGAGTGTCAACCCTCTGTTACATGTCCATTTCCTCCACTAGACCGTAGGCTCCTTGAGGGCAGAACCATGCCCAACTCATCTCTGACTTCCTAGCCTTGAACACAGGCCTGGCATGTATTGGGTGTTGAATGAATGAGTGAATAAATGACTCTTACTTGCCCCTGTCCTACAGGAAGCTTGGTCCTGTGCCAGTGAGGGCTGGCGTGAACCAGGCAGATAATTGCAGTTGGGAACAGGAGGATGGTGTGTGG